CATACGGATATTTAATATCCTCTGTCCAGAAGTAATATATCACATACTGTCCAATAGCAAGAACTAGTCCTACAGCTTCACACTAAAATTCTGGTGTCTGGGAAGTTCAAAGGCATAGGCCTGGCATCAGGCCAGTGTACAGCATGGCTGAGGAGATGGTAGGTGTGTACATAAAGAGGTGTTGTGTTTTCAGCTTTTTTAATCCTCAGTAGTTAAATCATTTTCCCCAGAAACAATCAAGTATTAGTATAATACTGAACGATAAAGTGTTTAAGTTAGAACTATGTAGCTGCTATTTTAATATCTAATTTATTTATTTCCTTTGAAATAATAATTTTTCTTTGAAAGATACTTAGAATTAATTCCAGCTCTAAAGAAAGTTCCTTACAAAGGGGGGAAAAATTCTCATCCGAAATGCTAGAAGCTACAAGAAAATGGACACAGGATCTAGAGACTAATGAAAAAAACAAAAGAATTACAACACAAAAATCCTATATCCAGCAAAACTATCATTTCCTTTGCAAGAGGAAAGATGATACCCGGTAATTAAATTGTATAGCCCCAAATACAATACTTAAGGTAAATATAGTACAGTTCAGAATCGTTCCTGTTGTACATTTAGCCCTAAATAGAGAACTTGCTGAAAAACACTGCGGTAGATTCAAAAGATGAAGTGTTAATGCATTTAGTAAAAAGAATGGACTGTGTTATAATAGATGACACAAAGGAATTTATATGAGCTGTATCTGCAAAACTAAAGACAGAACCATGTTTATTCCATTTCTGCGAGATAAAAATACACATGTCTTTATGTGTCCATACAGAATTGTAATACGAAAGAATAAATATTAAGTTAATAACTTGATGCTATGGCAAGAGGGGTAAGAGATGATGAGGAATGAGGTACTGATGTGGAAAGAAAGGGTTTCTAAGATAACGACATCCCATTATATAAAATTGTATGTGTCAGAAAGAAACATGTGGAGAATAGCCACCAAAATGTTAGGGCATTGATTCCAAGTGACCATTGCTTTCCTAATTTTTAAGTTTTTATGTTGTTTGATTTCTTATAATGAACGTATATATTTATATAACTATAAGTAACAATACAATTATCTGCAGTTTAGAAGAATATTATTTTTCCTTAAAATTAAAACAAAATTCCAATATTAATAGCTTTCTCAAACATAAAAAGCATCCCTGCCTAAGAAAATAAACTTACAAAAGTAAATAAATGAAAAATATTTGGCTAGACAGGTTTGATATGAAGCCTAACACTTACACACTTAAAAACTCAATAGCTGTATTCTTGGTATTCAAGCTCACAAAAACCTCTGTTTCAGAATCTGGCTCTCAAGAATCAGGACAAAAAAGGAATATAAGATTAATTTCATGATAATCATTTGTAGGTTTGACACAAGAAAAGGAAACTTTCTGACAACATTTCAGGTCCTTGCCAGGACGTTTTCTGCTTGGATAAATGATGGAAAACTTGGTCACATCTTAAGGAGTTTCATAGAAAAAGAGTTCAAGCATGAGTACAGCTGTCTTCTGACATCAAAATAAAGTGAACATGAGATTTTCCCCGTTAAAAGCCTCCTGTGATACACTTTTTGGACTGTAGGAGACACTAGGCCAAACACTAAGCTAAACAATGGTCAATGAAATGAAATCATTGCGGTATGTGAATATGTACACAAGGAATAAAATTACCCAGATGCTACCTTTTCAGCCATTACTTTTGAAATAATCATCCATGGCAAAATCATCCTCGAAGGTGGAAATGAACGGGCTGAGGGCAGAGCTAACAGGAGAAAGCCAGCCCTAAAAACCTTCACTGGCTGGCTGATCCTCTGAGATTGCATCTTATCGTTTGTAAAATCTGCTCGAGGTCCTTGAGACACAGTGACTGTTTTTGTACTGTAGCAACAGGGGTTGCCCCAGGCCATAGCAACTGAGATCAAGGAGACATGTTTTAATCAAATAAATGATAAAATCTATTTTAACATTTTATACAAATATTAATCTTATTTTAAAACTTGGGGTTGGAGGAATCACCCAAATTCAGGGCTAATTTAGTTGTCAGGAATAGACCCCACACAAATAGTCCCATTTTAAGTTTCATTGAAAGAGACATAAAGATACTAAAGGTTGTTATTCATCCTTCTTCATCACTGCTGCTCCAGGCATCTTCAAATGCTGGATTTAACTGTGATTTGGTTGTAGTCTAAAACAAGAAAAAAGGAGAAGGTTTTATTTTTCTACTTGATAATTTTAGGTTCATAATATAGTTACAAAATGCACTGCATGAAAAACAGATTATTTTAGGAAAAAGTGAATAACTGCTAATTTCAAAACAAAAGTAATGTAAAACATACCCCACATAATATAAGCTCATTTTAAACAAACACGCCAGACTATCTACATAATCGGTGTTTCCTTTAGTCACCTCACAAATACATACACACACACACTCTCACACTATGAGATGCTGCTATTGTTCAAAGTATTTCTGCAGCTCTTCTGAAGGTGACACATTGAAATCCAGGGGGCTAAGACTGGACTCCAGGTGGACAGTCTGACCTGACAGTCTAATTCATTAACGTTGGCAACTTTTCATTGTTTGGATGAACTTCACTTTTATAAATAAACAAATATCCGAATACGGTGAGTAAGGAAGGCCAACAGATGCTACAGAGGTTAAAGCAGACGGATCCCACACGGCAACTGTGCAGTTTGAGTTCAGGACCTAGCAGCTTGAAAGGCACAATGGGTGCTTTTCAATGCAGGCCCCAAATCCTGAGGAGAATGTGGAAGGGACTGCAGTATGGCCATCACCCCTGGGCAGTGATTTCTCACTTTCTCCTCTTTGTCTCTGTCTCTGGTGAATGCACATGCCTTATAGCAAAAATTAAAAAAATAAATAAAATAAAAAAAGAGAAAGAAAAAAGGGAAACAAAATAGTATAGTATGCTTATAACTTTGGAACTATATCTAGTAAAGTTAATCAGCAATTACAGAAATGTTAATGATCTGTAGTGTTTCAAATCAATTCTGTTTTTTGGGAAGTCTCCTGAATAGGTATGTTCTGATTCTCTAGGAAATGACTAAAAAGGCTTTAAGATAGTCTCAAATTTTTAAATATCTGGGCATTCATTATTCATTTCTTATTTTAGACTACAACCAAATCACAGTTTGCTTCTTACTCTTCAGTTTTTAAATTTATTCAAATTAACTTATTCTTTTTTTCTTTCTTTCTTTTTTGAAGAGGTTTTTGCTATAGGGCACGTGCGCTAGCCAGACAGAGAGAGACAGAGAGACAGAAAGCAAGAAATCACCCCTCAGGGGAGATGGCCACGCCACAATCCCTTCTCCTCTTGGGATCTTGGGCATGCACATACACGCACCCAACGTGAGTTTTAAGCCACCGGGTCCAGGACACGAACCGCAGTCAACTACATGGGAGTCCAGCGACATAGCCATTACGCTAACTGCTGGTCCCAAATTCACTTATTCTTTATTCAAAATGTTTACCGAATTTCTTGTCTTTTTAGATTTATAATTTAACTAAGTTATATTATTTAGTGAGAGTTTAGTCAAAGATATATGCTCTTAGGGGCTAAATGACTCCCCTTCCCTGTTTTGTCTTTAGAAGCCTTTCACTCTGCCTTGGTTATCTCCTAAGAGTGTCCCTAGGAGGTAAAGCCACTCAAATTATGCCTCCTACTCCTACTATGTCAGGCCACTGTGTAACCTATTAAACATTTTTTCCCATCAGCGAAATAGTCATTTATTCCCATTATCAGGAATCATGTATAACCATTTAATGCATATATGCATTATATAAGGTACTTTAAAAACTTCATAATAGAACATGGAATTAAAATTAGTTCATTTTGAGGGATCAGCAGTTGGTATAATGGTTATGTCACTGGACTCCCATGTAGCTGACCATGGTTCAAGTCCCAGACCTGGTGGCTTAAACTCACGCCTGGCGCAGGTGCGTGCGTGCCCAAGATCCCAAGAGGAGAATGGAGGAGAAGGGATTACAGTGTGGCCATCTCCCCCGAGTGGTGATTTCTCACTTTCTGTCTCTCTGTCTTGTCTCTTTCTGGTGAGCACACGTGCCCTATAGCAAAAAACACTCAAAAAAAACCCAAACCAAACCAAAACAACAACAACAAAAAAACCCAAACAGAAACAAAACGAGTCCATTTTGATGATTTTAATTTTAAAATCTGTGCATAGTTTTTTCATAATATACATTTTTCATACACTTTTGAAAATTTAATGTAACCAGCAGGGCAGGTTTGTGTATAACGGCATCACCACAAACAGGTGAGTAATGCATTGTGCTACAATGATATGAAATCATGTGTCACTGGACAAAAGGAAACTTTCAGCTTCATCGCAATTTATTGGGATCACCACTGTATATGCAGTCCATCATTAAACATTAATTTTGAAGATTCAACAGAAAAGCAAGATATGTCATCAGAAATTTTTTTTGCTAGTGCTAGCAGATGGCACGGTGGCTAAGACCCTGGATTCCCACATGACAGATCTCAGTTTGAGACCCAGACCTGGTGGCTTGAGAATCACATGGGGTGCATCCCTCTCACTTGCTCTGGTGAACACACACACCCTAAGGCAAAAACTTATAAAAAGGTTATTACTTCAGTTTTCTCTACAGCATCTCCTCCTAGTGGACATCCAGTCTATGCGTGAATATATTAATTTCTACCTCACCAGGTTGCCTTTCTTACTGATGGATTTACTGGGAATGTTATGGAGACAAAGAACGGGAGTTTAGAGGAGACCTAGTCCAGGTTCAAATAATGAAAACAAACCAAACCAAACCAAAGGAATACATCTTAATAACTTTGAATTATTTTTAAAATTTTTTAAGAATTATTTTATTTAACTTTATTTATTTATTTTAACTTGACCAGAGAAGGACAAAGTGAGTGAGAAAGGGAGAAAGAGAGAAAGTGAGAAAGCAAGCTGCCAGGTCAGGGACTCGAACTATAGTCAGCCATGTGGGAGTCCAGTGCCCTTCACCACTACACCACCTGCTGCATCCCATAACTTTGAAATTTCTACAGGTAATTACTAGAGTTGTCCCAGAGTAGCCTGTGTCAGCAATTATACATCTACACAAGTGGTAAATAAGAGAGCTATTTATTGTCTGAATGTCAAACTAAATTAAGATTTTTTTTTTTGGAGAGGTTTTTCCTATAGGGCGTGTGCTCTCGTCAGAAAGAGAGAGAGACAGAGAGACAGAAAGTGGGAAATCACCGCCCCCAGGGGGGTGGCCATGCCAGGATCCCTTCTCCTCCATTCTCCTCTCAGGTTCTTGGGTGCACAAACACACACACGCACGCGCGTGCGCCCAGCATGAGTTTAAGCCACCAGTTCTGGGACTCAAACCATGGTTGACTACATGGGAGTCTGGCGACATAATTATTACGCCAACTGCTAGTCCCCCAAGTTAAGATTTTTGATGATAGGTAATATTTGAACTGTAATGTACCTGACCTGTAGATCTCAGACAGGAAAAATAGATTCGCAGTATATAGGCTTGCTTTAACCGTGACCAAGTTTTAGAAAGCTGGGGAGGAGGTGGGTGTCAGATTCCTCAGAGTACAATAAAACAATTTGACAAAAAAGTAACAGGATTTATGCTTAAAGACCATAAGATCTGTCCCTGTCATCCAATGCCCTCTAGTTTCTTCAGATAGAATTAAATTTCTCCTCTACTTGGATATCAGGGAAAATATCCCTAGGGGGGATATCTTGATTAATGGGGAAGTAAATCTCATCTGAAGGATGGATATGAAAAACCTAATTACAACTTTGCTGATATTCGAATTCTGATATTTGGACATATCATAAACTTGTCTTGGATCACAAAGGTAATAAATGGCAGAATCAGGATTTAAACCCAGGTTTACCTAAAACTGAAGATTAAATATATGGGTGTGTTTTGTTTTGTATTATGTTATGCTGCCTCCCAGAGAAACTGCAATAGTCATATATTTGATAGTTAAAATGAAACACCTTTTTTTTTTTTGTCATAGGGTGCATGCGCCTGCCAGAGAATCAGAAAGAGACAGAAGAGAGATGAAAGTGAGAAATCACTCCCCAGAAGGATGGTGATACTGCAATCCCTTTTCCTCTACTTTCCTCCTGGAATTTTGGACATGAACGTACACATGCCCAGCATGATTTTCAAGCCACTGTGGGACTCAAACCACAATTGAGCTTGTGGGAGTCCAGAGCCTTCACCTGCTAACCCTGAAATGAAACACTTTTAAATGGGTTAAATTGTTAACATAAATGTAAGGAATAGGGTCTTGTGCAGACAGAATTCTCTACTGAGATCTGTATCATAGTCATAGCTATGTTCTACTTATATTCACAGAAATCTGTAAATTAAAATTTTACAGAAATAACCTTAGCACATACCATTTCATATTAATATGAGAATGCTGGTTTCTTAAAGGTAAAGCATATGAACAGTATATTTTATTTTACTATTATTTTTAAAATAATTTTTAATTTTATTTTATTTACTCATTCACTTATTTTTTAGTTTGACCAGAGAGAGACAAAGGGTGAGAATGAGAGAGAGAGGAAATGAGAAAGCAAGCCACCAGATTCAAGACTCGAACCCTGGTCAACCATATGGGAGTGTCCAGTGCCTTAACAACCACGCCACCTGCTGGTCCCCTGAACAGTATATTTTAAAAGATAAGATCTTTTAGGTCTTAAACAAATATAAAGTTCAACTTGTTTTCTGTGTATTTCTACTTTGTTTTTTACTTGTTTTGCTTAATTTCTCATACACAAAAGTTCTTTTCGATGAGGACTTCAAACTATCACCATAACTATACAAGGAATTAACACACATTATCTTTGTAGATTAAGCAATATAATTTTCTTCTAATATCCTTTTCTGTACATAAGTCACAGTAGATTTACTTTCATTTTTATTATTTTTTACTTGGTAAATGATTGTTTTATTTCCTAAAATGGCTTGTAGTATTTGGATTTTATGTATATGAAGGTCTGAAAAATTTAAGAAAATACATATTATGAAAAAACTGCATGGATTTCAAATTTTGTCTTCCATTAGAATAAACTTACACTTTAATTCCATTTTCCACAAACTTTCTGCAGTCCCCTTGTATAATAATCCACCAAAATAAGACACAGTAATTAAATACTAATGCAAGAAAAGTGGCTAAACCAAACTTTTTGACATATTAAGTCTTCTTCAGAAGAATATTTAGTCGTCTAAAGCAGCTGTATGCTGAAACTAATCAAGCCATAACAAACCAAATTAAAAATGTGATGACATCTAGAAGCATTCATATGGCAATGGGTCAGCTGTTTAAAGATTAATGATTGCATTTTTTCTTTCATTTGGATTAGGGACAAAAGAAAATTATTTATAGGCTTTATATTGCAGTAAACCATACACAGCAGTAGCAAATTTAGATATAAAATATATTTTGTTAGTAGCTGCTAGATGCCATCAACTACCCCCATGAAAATTCTATTCCATGTGATTTTGTACATAGTCCTGTTTCCATACATTAGAAACTAAATATTATAAAAAATGGTTTTAGAATTTCCAACTTGCTCTATTAGTAACTTTCTTTCACCTTAATATGCTTTGTTTTTACTACGACTTGGTTAAGATTACCTTAGGATGTCTCTGATTATGGTATTTTTTCCAGTGTAAAAAATTATATATATAAACATCATTTTAAGATATTAAACAGTATCCTAGAAATGAAGATCTATAGGGATAATTAATAGTACTTAGTAAAATAATTCTTGCTGGAAGAGATCTCACAACCTTTAAGTTACTACTGCTAGATGTAAAAATAAAAACATACATAGGTTACTATATAAGACCACGGATCATGTCTTATTCATCTTTGTTAACCCACAGCAACTTTAAAGCTCTTTATTCACATTATACTAATTTATGCTTTAACATAAATATTGCCTGACTGCTGAGTATAAATTGGTAAGTTTGACAGTGAGAATAAAGAGCCTTAAAAATGTTATATGAGATAACTCAAGATAATTCCACTTTTAGGAATCTATCAAAAAAAAAATTAGAAATGTACACAATTTGTAAACAGATATTTACCTTGGTGTTTTTGTTTATAATAATCAACAAATGTCTGCAGATAGGTCAATATTTAAGTAAATTATGGTATGTAAATGATAGTATATCTTAAAATAATGCTGACAAATACTTATTATGGCACAGAAAAGGCTTATTGTATAATATTAATGAGAAAAGTAAGATATTAAGTCAACTGTGTATTAGCTATGGTAAAAAAAGATGTGGGCCAGCCTCCTGGCCTAGTGGCTTAGGAAGTCAGATCCTGATTGCATGGTTTGAGTCCCAGCTCTGACAGCTTAAGAAACATGCTAGTCACATGTATATGCATGCCCCAAATCCCGACAGATGGTGAAATAGAGAAGGAATTGCGGTGTGACCACAACCCACTTGGGGGTGTTTTGTGCATGTGTGCACGCACCCTCTCTCTGGCAATGTGTCCTCTTGGAAAATTTTTAAAAATATGCATAGAAAAAAAAGAACAATGAAGGAAATAAAAATGTTAATAATGATTAATTTGACTTGAGAAATTTTATGTTCTTCTTTTGATAGTTTTCTAAAATTTCCAAATGTGTTATAACAAGGAAATTATTTTTACAATCAGAAAATACCTATGCCAGGTTATGATAGACAAATACCGTACACCCCTGCTTAACATGTACTGAATGTCACACTCTGTGGCAGAAACGGAAGGACTCACTGGCATAGAAGTAGAGAGAGTAATGACAGATAGCAGAAGCTGTACGAGGTGGTAGGTGGGAGATGATTAACTGACACAAGAATGCATGCAAACAAGTGAAATAGGTTATGGAATGGTATACCACAGCATAGTAAAAATGTTGTTGACAATTCAATATTAAAAAAAAAAGAACCTGGTAAGACTATTATTGAAAATGTACTACACAGTATAATTTTTAGTGTTAGAAATAAATGTCTCCATCCTTGATTTGATTAGCGCATGCTGCCATGTATGCTTCGAAAAACTGTACTGTATCTTACAAAGATGTACATTATATGTAAATCAATAAAATTTTTTAAAATAAATGATTTAAAAGACTCTTTTACATTAAGGAAACTAACAAAACTTTATTCTTTTTTTCTTTCAGGTTTTTGCCATAGGGCATTGTGCATTTTCCAGAGAGAAACAGAGAAATACAGAGACAGGGAAAGTGAGAAGTCACCCCCTTCAAGGGGGATGATCAGAGAACATTCCCTTCTTCTACATTCTCCTTTCCCAGTTTTGGGCATGTATGAATGCACACATACCCAGCATGATTCTCAAGCTGCTGGGTCTGGGACTTGAACTGTGGTCGACCATATGAGAGACCAGTGCCTTAACCACCACATCACCTGCTGGCCCAAAACTATAAATATATACACACACACACACACACACACACACACACACACACACACACACACACATATACATATATATATTTAAAAGAATGGTTTATTTAATTTTATTTATTATTATTATTTTAATTTGACTAGAGAGAGATACACGGAGAGAGAAGGGAAAGTGAGAAAGCAAGCCACCAGGTCCAGGACTTGAACCGTGGTTGGTCATATGGGAGTCCAGCACTGTAACCACTATACAATCTACCGGCCCCAAACTATATTTTTTATGATTTAGAAGACACTGAACAGTTTGTACAAATAATATTTACCTTATCATCATCAGGAACTGGTTCATGCAAGGATGGGACCCAAGCAAGAATATTGCAATCTCTGCTACCACTATAAAGTTCCTTTAACATAGAAAGCAAAGATGTGATTATGCATCAATTTGCAGCTTATATTAATACTTTGAATGAACTATATTATTTCTGAAATTATTAAATCTATTTCTACTCCTTAAAGAAACTAGGCTGATGCTTTTTTCCTTTTCTTTGTTAAGAGATAGTAGAACTTTGTTTGTTTTCTAAAGATTAATTAATTAATTAATTAATTTATTTATGGAGAGGTTTTAGTTATACAGCACGTGCGCTTACCAGAAAGACAGAGAGAGACAGAAAGTGAGAAATCACCCCCCTGGGGGGATGGCCACACCACAATCCCTTCTCTTCCATTCTCCTCTCGGGATCTTAGAAAACGCACGCACACACACCCAGCATGAGTTTAACCCACTGGGTCTGGGACTTGAACCTATGGTCGACTCTATGGGAGTCCAGCGACGTAGCCATTTGCTGGTCCCATAAAGAGAAGTTTTGTTTTTTCTTTTTCTTTTTTTTTTTTTGCTTGTTTGTTTTTTGAGAGATGTTTGCTATAAGGTGTGCATGTGCGTGCACACACGTGCCCAGTGCAAATTTTAAGCTGCCCTGTATGGGAAGGATATTTCAGAATTTAATGGTATGAAAATTTTACAGAAGCAGTTGATATCTTGGTGGTTTTATCAATCATAGTATCAATATATTGCATAGGGAAAGTCATGATGCATTTTTGCATAGAAAAAGATTGAAAAATATATCATGACTTTCTGGACTACCTAGTATTTTCAGTGTCAGAATAAAGAAAAAGATGGAAGAAATAAAGAGTTTATCTCTGTTAGAAACTGAGCTATAATAAAACCTTCAATGAAGAAACAGAAGAGTTAGACATTTATATGTAGGGCAAGCCCCATGGCCTAGTTAAGGAAGCGAGATCTCATGTGGTCAACTGCATGGTCTTAATCCTGGTTCCAGGGGCCTGAAAAACATGCTGGACATGTGTGTGCATATGCCCAAGAGCCTGAGAGGATGGAGAAATACAGAAGAGATTGTGACATGACCACACCTATTCTCCCGGGTTCCTCTCTTTCTCTGGTGAGTACACATTGTCTCTGGTAAATAATAACAAGTAGATATTTAAAAAATAATTAAATATACAATATATTTCTTGTGAACAAGGGCACTTTTCTATATTATTTCAATCAGAAAATTCACAGTGATATATTACTATCTCCTAATTCTGAGACACTATTAAAGTTTCATCAATAGTCTCAATATTGTTCATTATAGCAAAAGGATATGTTAAAAATATCATGCTACATTTAGTTGTCATGTCTTTTAAATTTTCAATCTGGAACAGTTCTTCAGTCTCTCTTTGACTTTCTCGACCTTGTTTTTTTTTGTATGTTTGTTTGCTTTTGTAGTGTGTGTGTTTGTGTGTTTTGAAGACAGGGTCTTTGGGTCCAGGAGATAGCATGGTGGTTAAAGTGCTGGATTTCCATATGGATGCCTGCAGTTCAAGTCCCAGATATGGTGGCTTGAAATTCACACTGGGGGTGTGTGTGTGCGCGCGTGCGAGCTCAAAATCCCAGGAGAAGGGATTATGGTGATTTCTTACTTTCCCTCTCTCTGTCTCTCTCGGTTGAGTGTATGCACCCTATGGCAAAAACCTTAAAAAACAACAACAAAAAACTAGAGTACTGCTGTTATCAGGATCTTCCTCTGCCTTGGCCTCCTTAGCAGCTGGAACTATAGATGTGCCACCATGCTCTCTAGCAAATTAAAACAAACAAAAACAACTGGGAGCTTTCTGATATATCAACAGCACAGTGATGAAATCTTTTTGAGTTGATAGCACATACAGAAATGGCATTTGTCAGGAGAAAACTGACCCTAGTCCTGTGGCTATCTCACCTATTTCAGGGACTGAGAGGGATCATCTAGGCAACCTTTTAATCCATTCTGGGCCTTCTGTTAGAAAGCTCCAATTTGGTAGAAAGCAATAATTTGTAGTCAGAACACCTGGCTTAAAAATCTTGGCTATGGGGGTCAGCAGGTGGTGCAGTGGATAAGGAGCTGTACTACCCCATGACTGACCATGGTTTAAGTCCTGGATTTGGCGGCTTGAAAACCACGCCAGGGGAACCAGCAGTTAGCGTAATGGCTATGTCGCTGGATTCCCACGTAGTCGACCGCGGTTCGTGTCTCGGACCCGGTGGCTTAAAACTCACGCCGGGCACGTGTGCGTGCGTGCCCAAGATCCCGAGAGGAGAATGGAGGAGAAGGGATTGCGGCGTGACCATCCCCCCTGGGGGGTGATTTCTCGCTTTCTGTCTCTATGTCTCTCTCTGTCTGTCTGGTGAGTGCATGCGCCCTACAGTGAAAATCTCTCAAAAAAAGAAAAAAGAAAACACGCCAGCATCTGTGTGCATGTACCCCAAATCCCAGGAGGAATATAGAGAAGGATTGTGGTGTGGCCATCCCCCCTGGGGGGGTGATTTCTCACTTGCCCTCTTACTGTCTCTCTTGTGAGTGCATGCACTTTATGGCAAAAAGCTTAAAAAAAAAAAAAAAAACTTGGCTATGTCTCTCAGTGACTCTAAACACTTAAAGAGGACAGGAAAAGAGGGACAGCATTCTCTCTCTCTCTCTCTTTTTCTGTGGGGATTGTGGGGAGAGGAGAGGGCGTGTGCACTCACCAGAGAGACAAACATAAGGATGTGTACTGGCTAAAGAATCAGGCCTATATATCTTACAGAGCAATGTCAGCCACAAATGAGGTACTCAGTATTAATGAGCGAATGAATAAGAGTTTCATCAGATATAAAGTCCCCTTCAAGCTCTAATAATCATAATTTTCACTGTATCAGTATTTAACTTTCATGAGCTTCCTTTCTCTTACCTACAAAACAAGTAATATGTCAATTCTCTTGTTATATTAGACTCATTTAAAGGAACGCACGAGAGAACTGCAGGAGACCAGAGTCATAATGTCAGCAGGTCGTTCATCTGTCAAGTGGACCATGGGGAGATTGGGATAGTGATGCAAAAAACTGCTGAAGTGAGAATGACCAGGCTTCTTCTCAATCCCTTTTTATTAAAGTATTTTAGTAAGAGAAAAACCTATTTTGCCCACGATGCCCTTCAGCAGTGCAGAGTCAGGGATATTGTGCCTCTCAAAGCTTTACCTGTTTCACAAAGTATGTGAACATGAACTGGCCAAGATCATTTTCAAAGTTGGAGAAGTCATAGACCCAGAGACAGGAAAACCCTGTTAGGAGCTACCTACCTGGAGAGTCTAGTCAGCTTGGAACCCACCCGCCGAACCAAAACTATAGAATAACTCCATATCGCTTCAGCACAGTGAAAGAGGATTGAAAGGAGCCAAAGG